CAGTGAAAGGCTAATACACTGCTTAAACATAAGATTGACTACTGAGATGCTTTCCTTCACTTGCTATTTTATGTCATTACTTGTTTTGCACTAAAACTTTAATTCACATTTAGCAAGGCAATTAGGCCACATTTCATCAAAACATACATCTATCCCTGAGAAAAATTATTTTTGCTCTCTCCATATTAAAAATTGCTCTGCAATACCAAAAGATAGACAGAAAAAAAAATCAAGTACTGCACTGAAGGAATGGTAAGCTTGTACTGGAACATGACAACCCACTTTAGAAACTGCTGTTCTGCATAGGTAAATGTGAGCATTACTGGGGATGAATAGATGATGTCTTTGGGCCTTTCTGCCACAATGCGTACACTGCAAAATATCCTACAGCAGGATTTCTGCTGAATACTTTTGGCTCTCCACAAATGTCACCAGGAAATTCAAAATGGAGCTCAAGTGTAAAAAAAGGCAGCTGAAAATAGGGCACTTTGCTCTCCCTTAGAAGAGGATAAACATGACTGTATTAAGAAAACTGGATTTGTACATTTTTTTACATATATAAAAGAGATGTTAACAACTCATATTGACCTATAACACTGTAGCCTTCCTGTAATTTATTTTTCTATTTATTCAAGCAAAGACAATTCTCTAATATAGAGACCAAACACTGGTTTTGGACATCACATCTGAAGGAATAAAAAGAATAACTAGTGCTACACTTTCATATGTGGAACATGTACTTCATGAACTCAAGTTCAGAATCTACACACAAAGAAGTTAACAGGGCTAGAACGTCTTAGGAGACTAGCCCTGGAAAAGACACAACAAAGTTGCATGCTTTCTAGCTGAATAAACCACTCATGTAGTTTTATTTACCAATTTTTCCTAGATTCCTTGCTTATCAGTTGATTACCAAGAAACCAAGATGCATGGCAAAGTAAAAAGAAAAACCAAAACCAAGAAAAAACTTCTAACCTTGGCTTCAGAAGTACTGAAAAATACTAAAATTGGTCTGCTTTTAATGTTAGCTGTTGAAAAACTATATATATCTTTAAACCACCTACTTAAACAGCAGCAGAGATGGAAGAAACTAATCTATACTGATCTCACATTAAGATTTATTTCCAAATGTGATTTGGGAGTTCACCTTGGATGAAAGGCAGTATTTAATGCAATACCACCAATGCTGACCACTGTGCTGTGGGGAGACAGAATGATCCAGTAGATATTTCTATATGTAACTGTTAGTATGATCTTGGAAATACGAATATTTAAGCCTTGTGACACTGAATTTTCTAATAAAAAGCATAAGGCATAACTGTATTATAACTAAGGCTGACATTAGTTTTTTTCATAAATGTTGGGCTTGCTTTCTATTTGCTAAGGTTCCAAGAACAAGCCCTCTACTGCTATATTTCTCCAACACGTTCCATCTTACAGGGTTGGTTACTTTTTCAATTATCAAGAGAAAGAATTCACCTGCTTCCTTAAAGTAGAGCCAATGAGCCTTTCTTATAATGGCTAATTATGAAAATACTCACTTTTCACTTCAAGATAAACTACACATTTATGTCCTTGTCAGGACTGCTTCCTGTGGAAAAAAAAGTGCTGCACAGATCATGATGAAGAAGAAAAATACTAAAAAATTAGTTTCTTTTCCTCCAACTTCTTCAGGATTCTTCCTTGGTTTCTTTCATCTTTTTTTTATTTAATTCTTTCTTACAAAACAAATCTTATGTCAACTAATGATCATTATTACTGGCTTAGCCTACCTAAAAAACCCCTAATGATGGAAGCTAGTAAATTTCTCCAATTTCACAGCCTACACAGGCTTTCTGGTGGGCTTTTTGTTGTTTATTTGTTTTAAGAAATACATCATTATAGTCCTTGTCTATTGTCTCCACTTAAAATAAGACACTTACATGAAGCCAAAGAGTCTGAAAAATTAACAGGAATTACTGTAGTATTCTACATAAATCCATATCCTAGCACACTGCCATTACTATTACTGTTTAGCTTTCTCAAACTTGATCTGTTCACAGTTGTATTTCACCATATTCACTAAAATCGTCCAATTGTGAATTGGTAGTCTAACAAAAACCCAAAATGTGACAGATAAGAACTGCAGTCACTTCAGTTTAAATCATGTTCAAGCATCATTCTGTGTACACATTTTGATACATTAAAATAACTGCCTTAATCTTTATGTGCATTAGGATCAAATCACCCAGTGGACATTGGGAATTCCAACTAGTGTAAATAACTGTGCTCTGCAGACAGTGGCACCCTTTTCAAAGGTTCTCTCAGGGAAACTTTAATTTGTGCTTAGGGCTTCGTGGCAGCCTACTAGCAAAGGTGCCTTGGGGACATGCTGAATTAATATCACCATAACGTGCAGGCATGTATGTGCAGGAGGCCACAATAGTCACAGGTAAGACAAATCAAATGGTAGCATCCCCCCATCAGCTTTTCTATTATCTCCCCCACTTTGTGCCAATTTCTTCCAGCTTCCCCAACACCTCTTGCTTTGCTGTTCTTCCTTAAGACATGGGATGGGGATTTGTCAAAGTCAATGAGCACTTTATTACAGTGAGAGTGCTCAGTAATGAACAATTCAGCAATTTAATGAGATTCTGTAGATCTGTCTCCAGCCTATCCATCAAGTTTCACTTCTATAAAGCACCCTGACACTAATCCTCTGGCATGCCCAATCTTCACCCTGGGCTGAATATTAGATTCTTCCATGGTATATTGCATTACCACTATAACCTTAGCAAAAATGATGAACTTAACTACACTTGAGGCAATATAGCTGGTCTGATTTGATTTTCTTCTATTAGGTTGACTATGAGGGAATTACTTATTTACTAAGATAAAGCAAAAAACCAGTTTATTATTTCCTTCTGAATGCCCAAATTGGTAAATATTTATATGCGTCTTTTAATTCATTCTGGAGACCTGGAATACTTATAAATATATTTTTTTCCTGGTTGCACAGACTGAATTAAAAAGACCCATGGACGTTTTGCCTGCAGCAGAAAACTAGTTTAAAAAAATTCTTCAGAACAGCATTAGTAACCTTTAGAGAGGCAATTACGATAACATTTAAATGGACAGTGTGGAGTTTGTTGTCACTCAGAAAGCAGCATATTACCTATAAGTATCTCTCCCCAGTATGACCCTGCAACAGAAACAGAGCCTTTGTCATGTTTGCCTCACGAAGTGCTCATTGACTGGAGTGCACACAATTAAGAAAATTATTTCTGAGTCTTTCTGCAGGACAGGACAGGACAGTGACACAAGATTTAAAAACTCCTGATGCCTAAAATGGAAGAAAAAGGCATCACTCCCACTTCCCAAATGTCATTACAGCAGGTTACAGACAGCATATTACTCTGGATGCGGTTGCTCACTACTGAGCTAGCATGAAGTTGTACTTGCATGGCTTTCTGCAGCAACTTTTCTAGCAAAAGTATACCCAAGCATGTAGCTAGGGGATTTCACTGACCCTGCAGAGAAATGATGTTAAAACCCTATCAGCCAACCAGACATCTCTATGAATAAGACTGTGCATAAAGGGAATGTGGGCTAGGACTGCAGAGTACTGTACTGTGCCTAGAACACCTCAACCAATCCCAACCCATCATCATGTGTAGTGTGTTGCAGGTTCTGTTGTACAGGTATCTTCCAAGGATTAAGACAGGAAAAAGTCTAACTTCATATTAGTATTTGCAGAAAATATCATCTTTGTAAAATACTACATAATCTAAAGGCTCAAAATTTTGGAAACAAATATGCCAGTTATTAGCCTGAAGGGTTACGTTACATCTACATACTGGTTTTGTGGTTTGAAGAGCTTAAATTGAAAATTTTATTCTTTTAAGAATAAATATTTTGTCCCTATATGATGTTATTAATCCACAGAACATGAACTGACCTTCAGATAAAAACACATTTTACACTTAGAGAAAATGATGGCATACAAATGTAATTATTTCCTTGGAATAATCCAAAATGTAAGTAGATAAATAATACGCATTGAAATATAAATCAGTTTTCTGACTCACAGTCTTCTCTGCTGGATCAATATAACCTGCTTCCTAAAAAGAGTGCACAGGTTTCTTTCAAGCAAGTTATATTCTACCTTGAAATACAATGGAATACTTTCCTCTATAAAACATGACAATAAAAAGGAAACAGAGAGAAGTCTTCGGGTAACCAATATTATGGAGATTGACTTCCACTGTATCATGAATTACAATTTTTAAAGACATATGATGGGAATGTTTCCAAGGATAGATTTTGGTTTAGTTTTTGTTTTTCTCTGAAGAGGTTTTTTTTTCTATTAGGTTTTCCCCCAAGACACACACTTAAGGTCACAACATAAGGCTTTTATCTTCTTAATATTCTATGGGTAGCAATCTGGCTATTTTCTAGATCCAGCTTTTTTAAAGGAAGTGATCGCCACCTCCAGCTTTTTGCCACAAACCTTTCACTGAAGCTTCCACTCATCTCTTAGCAGAGCTGCCTGTGTGATGATTCTCTAATTTGCTTCCGGCAAAGTCAGCTGTGGTGGCTCAAACAATTTAAATGACTATTGACGTTACACAGCTAAATGTGACTGATGTGAATGGGACAGACTGCAGAAGCAGGTTTGCCACCAGACTTGTAGCACTAGCCTCATCAGAGGCAATGATAATTGAGTTGCATGCATCAGCCATGTCTTCCCACCAACGAAATTCGATCTGGAAGGAAATCTCGGGCTATATTTAAGTAGCACAAGTTAAGCAGTATGACAAATTTCTCTTTCAAACAAAGTAATTGCATTAACACAACACAACATTTTTGGAACTTCATTTAGAAATTTCCCTCAGTTGTTATTCACAGTTTTTGCTCAAGTGCTTATTCTCCCTCGAGATTGCTCCAGGGTTTCAAAACAACAGATTACTGCTATGGTTTATAGAGTATCACACATTCTGGTTGTTCACCAATCTCCTTACCTGCCAGATCTGTTCTTCACTGAGTGAAGTGAGTCTATCGCTTTTAAAAACCTCTCGAAGAAGACAGTATGGGAGTGCCAGAACTTCTTCAGGATGACTCTTCAGTAGCTCAGAGAGATGTTTTACTAGGAAGCCAATGACTGCATTCTCCAACAAAGTGAGGTTGAAGAGGTCTGCAAGCTTATACAGGTCCAAGTAATTAAAACTATTTAATTCCTAAATGGACGAAGCAAACAAAACACATCTCAGAAAAACAAACAAACAAACACAAAACAGAGAATAATAACCCCCACAGGTCTCAGATAATGAGAAAAGGTTATTCTTTCGGAGCTGTGGAGAAGGAAGGCAATATAACTTGGAATTAATTAACACACCCTCATTCAAAATGTATGTGTAAATGCTACCAGTGCATATGCTAATACATATGATAGTACTAATTTATATTGCAACTTCTAAGGTTATATGTGCATAAAGCATCTGTGAGAAATACGGATTAGCACATACTGTAATAAACCAGTATGATTTACACTGTATGACAAGAGCTCACAGGACCTAACAAGTGCATTTAAAAAATGTATTTGTAAACTACAATGATTTGTTACAAAGCAGTTGTTTGTTCATTATTTATTGTTTTGATTGAGCTAGAGCACCTGTGTAGTACAACTTTTAGTTCCATGAAACCTCACAAAATACAAGATGCTTAGTTACATCTTATTACATATGAATTTTTCTTCAATGAAAAAATTAACCCTTTTTTTTTTCTCCAACCACTGACATCAACCTGTAGTAGATGTTGGTCTCCTGCTTTTTCTCCCCCTCCTTCTAGCAGCTGAAAATTTGAAGAGACAAAAGCTACAGTAACTCAAGGCAGTAAGATTTTTCCATCCTGCTAGCAGATGACCTATATTTACAGGCTAACATTTTTAACTTGGCATCCCTCATAAATTCGACATAAATCTGGACAACTAACTACTGCTGTTCTAGACCATACTGCTCTCTTCAGGAGAGAGGCCAAGAAGTCACTTGTATTATACAAAAGTACTCAGTGCATCTGGGAAATAAGCATGTTTACTCGTTTTCTCTGTTCTTGCTGTACGCTCACACTTCTCTTTCTCTCTCCTCCACAATCCTGGTTTTCATCTTTCAATTTCCTGCATTGCTCCCTATCAGGTGCCTTCTCTTTGACCAGCCCCATGTGTGAAAATGACAAGAAGTCTCGTCAGTTTCACTTTGCTGGTTAGTTAACATAGGGACTAGAGCAAGGAAGAGAAACAGACTAAATTAAGTCAATTTCACTTTCACTGCTCTGCTGGATGGAATGGCAGCACCAAATGAAACTGACAAGAAATCTTGTAAATGTCAAATGAGCTGCACGGCTGGCAGATAGAGCAGAGCAACAGGGAAGATGGGAAAGTGCGAAGAGGGGTTTTTTGGAATGTTTTATGGACTACATCTTGAACGTGTGAATTGGGTGCCTGTCCCAATGACTGTGGAGCTGTTTATGCATATGCAATGGAGAGTGGAGAAAGAATTTTTTTTACCTGCTTAGAGGAGTCTGTACTGGAGGAAATGAAATCAAATTCCTGTGCAGGTTCCTGCTTGTTACATAACCTCCCAGTCTGAACAGTGCACTTCTCTAGCAGAGTCCTACACTAAAGATAAATCCTGTTCATTAGCTACTTAAACAGCTGCATAGGAGTTTCACATTGCTTTCTTGGAAGAACAAAGAAAAGTTCTTTACATTGCCAGAACAAGCACTAACAGCCATCATCCCAAAAGCCACAGATATTCTAGTGTCAGCTCCTCTTCACACTAACAGAGGAGGTAGGGATAAATCTGCAGTTGCAGAAAGAAAGAGAAAGGAATGAATTTTACATGAGAAGTATCTGGTCTGTATGCTTGCTCGGTGACTTAATATCCTCAGATCACAGATGGTACCTCACAACACCACTTCTGTTACAGCTATGCAGTGGTGGCAACAACACATAAGAGTCTAATCAAAGTAAACATCACAGTATTTGACAAGCAAGAACCATAGTTCATTGTCCCCGGGTTTGAAAAACTTTCTTTTCAAAGCACTTTGATTGAATTAAAGCCAAATGCCAGAAAGAAATTTAGAAGAGCTCAGTGTGTATTTATTGAGCTTTTTTGTAGTCAATGGCTGTATCTGGGGAGCATAAAAGTAAATAAATAAATAAATAAATGCATGAATGAATGAATAAATAATCAAGCATGGTGACCTGAGGATCAACAGCCCAACTAAAATAAACGCCTGATCAAACCCCAATAAGTGTCAGTGGAGAAGGAGAAGTGGCTTTTAGAGGGCTTCAGAAGAGGACAATACTATGGATAACATAATAAGATCTTTCCTCATTAGAGAGAAACAGCAATGAGACACACAAATGCAGTCTTCCCCTGAAAAGTCTTCACATTTTCAGTGAAATCTGAATGACACTGGTAAGCCTTCATTTTTGGTTTGGCTATTTTTCATGGTCATCCAAACTCCCCTATGCCCTCAGATCAACACCAGCTGAAGTTGTTTTTATGAAGGCTGCCTTACAATTGAAGATACTTACGGATGGATAAATAAAATCTCACCAGTTATTTATTTACTATACTATATGTTATAACTTATTTCAGATGCTTATTTATGTATGCATGTTTATTTATTTATTATGGATGTTATTTGTTTACTTATTTTTATTGTGAAGTTTGAGATGATTTTTGATGCTTCACTTAACATAATATGCTAGTGACCTACTGGACTTACAGTTTACTGCTTGATGAATACTGCAAGTATGTTTTGTTAAAACTGGTCTTGGCCTGGAATCAGAAACATTTCATTTTTGGTTTTGTAAGGTTAGAGTTGATCTGCAGGTTTGTATTTCACAGACAAAGAGTCAAATAGTGCTTTAGCTTTTACAAATGATAATTATCAGATTGTCATAACACTATTCAAATCAAGATTATACAGTACTGTACATTACTGTCTCTGTGATGATACTAGAGGGTAAAAATGTCACACTGAGATTGCTCAGTGTACAACCTAGATCAGATAATTTTGCCCTTTATAAGTAGTAAGACTTTCAGAAATAGGCTAAAATGCAGTAGTTAAGTTAGTAGCAAGAAAAATGCACCTTACTTTCTAGCTTTAATAAAATCCCACAGGAAGGATCAAAGCAATTATTGCCAGCTGAGTCTGATTTGAATAGACTTTTCACACTAAACACTTAATTGAATTTAAAACTTTGATAAATGATGAAATAGGTTACTAAACAGGAAATTTAGGTGTGGTCATGAGTAAGAGTACTGGCAGTCTCTGTTTTCACAGATTTTATTATATTGTGCCAAAAGAGCAACCTTAAAATTTTAAAGTAGTGTGTAGCTTTCTTCCGGTACTGTATTACAGTATGTTCTTTAAAAACATGCAATACAAAACAGGCTTATGTCAATTCTTGAACTTCTCAATCTCTCTTTTTATAAACTTTTAAGTATATGCCACTTATCTTTTCTGAACCGAAGGACAAAATATGAACACAAGCAGAACTGTCACTAAGAGCTGAAGAGAATTAGGGAAAGGTAGCGATACTATCTCTGCTAATATGATGTACGTTACACTGCTGAAACACGCTCAGACTAAGAAAATATGTATAAAATTATATACAGCACTTACAACTGAAGTTGAAATTGTTCTGAAATATCACAGTAAACTCAAACAATTTAGTAAACTGGCCAAATTATTTATCAGTATGTACTGCTAAAATAAGAACTACCTTTGATCCTATGCATCCTACTTAGTGCACATCCCTCCACTGAAGTAAGGGAATCCACTGTTCCACACTACTGGTCTTCTGATTCAGTAATATCAACCTTTAGATGCCAAACCAATTTAACAATGAGCTGACATTTAAAACCCTCATAAAAGAAAATCTGTTTTCCAAACAAACATAATCTGAAAGATGACAATATTAAATATTCAAAATAAATTATGTGACATTGTCCATATTTTAATGCAGAGGTGTATTTTAATACAGAGATATGATAAACTGCCAAACAGGAAAAATAGATATAAACATTGTGTTTAAATTACTTCCAAATCCGTCTTTATTCATTTGTATTTTAAAGAATAATTGCCTTGCACAAGCCAAAGAAAAGGATATAACAGATTGATAAATTAGAGTTAATCATAACCAAGTACACAGCAGACTACAATATACCTCTATTCCTCTGCTCCGTGTTATAAATAGCAGAAAAAGCACAAGGAGAACTAAGGGGAAAGAATGCATTTCTTTATGACCTTATTTGAAAGATAAACTCCTTGGGGAAATACAATTTATTCAGATTATCAAGACCCTGCTGTGCAAATCTACAGTCTGGGAGCACGCTATGGAGATCAAACAATATTTACTTTATTCTGTTGGGTATAAAAGCTTTTAATGAATGCATAATTAAGACGGAAAAAGTATATACAGCTTTAGAATTCCACTGCCAAGCCAAGCCATTAATATCGAAAGTATCGTACCCAGTTGTAACTCCACCTGCTTCCTATTTAGATTACAACACTGTTATAAATCAAGGTATTAAATGACTAGCCCAGCTGCTGTAGCAGAGAAGAGCTGCATGGCGACACTACTTCCCCTTTTCCTAAAAGGAGTTCAGCCTCTTTAAAGCAAAAAGACCCCAGATGTGAGGTCTATGGGACAGGGACATGGTTATTCAAAATCCTTAAACAGCACCTAGCACAACAGGTCTTGACCCTACGCCCTCCAGGTTCTCTGCTACATTAAATACTCTGAACCAGCTCCACCATTCAGAATAGAACCTTGACAAAAATCATAGCAAAGATGGACTCTAAACAGATAAGGCATAGTAACAAAATGAAAAATTGTAGTGACAAAAATACACTTGCCTGACAACAAAAGCAATCAACACAATTTTAAGAGAAAAGAAATACCATTCTATTGGTTCTAGCTCTCCCTTTCTATATCAAAGCTTTTAATTCTGCAAAACCCCACACATTGATCAAAGAACTAACAGAACATGAACACACTCAACAGCACAGCAACAGACAGGCATGTTTCATAATAAGCAGAAGTACAAAAAGTGTATTTTGGATCTTATTTGAAATTTCCCTCCATCAAACACTAAAGCCATCCAGTTGAGCCATGAAGGGCATTTTGCTGAAGCGTGGTTGCAGTGGAACAGCTGGGTCAGAATTTTTCAATGTATAGAACTGATTCCATTTATTATAAGTGCAGATTGCAGATGCATTTATAGGCACAGGAAAGGATGACTTTCTAACTGATTCATTTTATAAAATAATTTTTCTGGCAATTACACTTTCTGTAATTATTTCTTTTGTTTTCTTCTTTGATCACGAAAAATTTATTTGCATCCTTGCTGCTATTTCAAAGTAGGTCTAGAGGTAAGTAAAAACCAACAATATCAAAATATATCAGTCCTATTATTTTCCCTCTACTCTGTGAGAACTCATTTCCCTTCTCACTTAGTGTTTCTCTATGTCTGCTTGGTTTTCTGGTTCAACCCTGCTGGCTGGTGCTAGTGAGAATCCTCTTTGAAGGCACAAAGGAGGCCTGTGAGCTTCACACGAACAGCAGAAAGACATGACATTCTCAGATTGCTCATTTGATGACACAAATGTGTGGTCTTCAAAAAACAAACATGCCATATGCAGATCCTCTAAAGTAAAACCAAAAAAGCAAACATTTTCTAGAATCTCAGCCAGATTAATCTACATTATTAAATAGTACAAATATTTTCAATTGGCAATCCAGTCAAATATTTTAAGTGACTCTGATTATACATACCTGTTACATACTGCATACACAATTATGTGTATCTTGGAAAGAAATATAATAATAAAACATTAAGACTACACAGTTAAAGTTTCATGGGACCAGTGGAACAATGACAGGTAAGGTTCTGCAGAGGTTTCAATAGCTGCTTTCCCTCGGCTAACCGATATTGCTGTAGGAATTTTTAGAATTTTCTTAACTGTACCTGGCACAGAAACTCCCCACATGAAAAGCTTCACATCTCACCAGGTACTCCTGGCCAGAAAACATACTATTTAACAAATAAAAACACAGGGATAAAGTGGAAACTGAGGATCTTTTAACCCTTCACCTGTCCCTTTTATACCATTTCAGAGAGTAGAAACACAAAAGGAGGATTTGATAAGATTTATCAGTGTTTACTGGTTTTGCCAATTATGGTTGCTTTCCTTGTCTTCAAATATGTTGTGAGGAATGACATATTCCACATATATTCCTGTACTCTTTACTCCAGTAGAAATCACAAAATATTGGTACATAGTCTTTACAGATGTTTTATTATTTTATATTTTTGCTAACTCTTCAGAGTTAGTGTATCTATCAACTACCATCAATTTTTTATGGTAAACATTCTCTTTTTTTTGTTTTTGTTGCTAATACTGACAAATCCAGAAAGAGCAAGTGTTGTCCTTTAGAAACGCAAAGCTCATAGGAGTAGCAGCTAAAATAAATAATTACAAACAAACCAAAACAAGACAATACAAAAAATAGGACTGTAGTGTTACTTCCTTTTATATATATATGTTTTACAGGCTCTAATGGGAGTTTGAGGCCTTTTCTTATTTTAAGCCTATTCC